GCGCTTTGCGCCGTCTGCTTAGCCCCTTAATCACTGCACCACTAGTATTCTTTTTAACTGCTGCCAAGTCAACCTCAACTAACAGTGACCCTACGAAAGACAAACCTCCAAGTAAACCTATTACCAACAGCCCTGACCATGGCTTCCTTGATTGAGTCTATCCATCTGGAGTGCAGTCTTCCTCTTTTTCTACTGCCTTCTACCTTACCAAACATTATTGTCTTTTCTAGTGAGTCATGTGTTCTCATTATATGGGGGCTGAGCAGAGCAACAGGGAAAACCGGGCTGATCCCAGTTTTTCCTGAACTGGTTGGAAACCCCATTGCCTGCACAGCCCAATCCCAAGGCAGGCTGAACATGTATGAACAGTCCACACCAAGTGGCATCAAGCCTCACCTCTTGGATTTTTGGGTGGCCACCCCCCATGCAATCACAGCATTGTATGAACACACAACCTGAGATCGGCAATTATTTCCTCATCCTGTCCAGTTGCCATCCCACTGGATGTTCCATGTGATCATACAGTCACATGATCGATATACTGCCTGTTTAGTGGAGTGGTGTGCCCAGTGACACATTGGCAAAGTACAATCATGGAGGCCCCCTTCTTCCCCTTCACCCCATGCTCCCTCCAATGGACTGTCTAGTTCAGTGGTTGGCAAACTATGGCCCGCGGGCCAAACCCGGCCTGTCGAGGCCGTGTAACCAGCCTGTGGCTGGTCCAGCCGCCGCCACCGCACACATGTGCGTTGCCGCCGCCGTTGACCAGATTGTCAAGTCGTGTCCGACTGTAGGGGACAGTGCTCATCTCCATTACTAAGCCAAAGAGCAAGCGTTGTCAGAGACTACTCTGTGATCATGTGGCCAGCGTAATTGTACAGAACGCTGTTTACCTTCCCACCAAAATGGTACCTATTTATCTACTTGCATTTGCTTTAGGACTCTTTTGTTTGTCTTTTCAGCAATTCAGGGTATCCATAGAACTCTCCTCCACTACATTTCAAATGAGTTTATTTTCTTTCTATCAGCTCTCAGCTTTCACAACCATACATAATAAATTGGAAATACAATGGTATGGACAATCCTAACTGTAGTATACAATGATACTTTATATATTGACACTTCAGGATTTTGCCTAGTTCCTTCATAGCTGGCCCTCCCAGTCCCAGTCTTCTTCTGATGTTCTGACTGCAGTCTCCATTCTGATTAATGACTGAGTCATGACATGAAAAATCTTAAATAATTTCAATATCTTCATTGTCTATTTTAAAGTTACATAAATCACCTGTGGTCATTATTTTTGTTTTCATAATGTTCAACTGTAAACCTGCCTTCGCACTTTCTTCAGTAACTGTTTCAAGTCTTTGCCATTTTCTTTTACTAGTAAGGTGTCCTCTGCATATCTTAAACTGATATTCCTTCCTCCAATTTTCATGCCTCCTTCCTCAGACTTTAATCTTGCTTTACATATATGTCCAGCATACAAGTTAAATACATAAGGTGGTAAAATGCAGCTTTGTGTGACCTCCTTGCCAACTGGAAACCATTCGAGCACACCCATTTCTTTAAGGGTGATCCATAGTTTTTCATAAGCTACATAATTAAAGACTTTGCTATAATCCATAAAACATGGGGTGACTTCTTCTGAAATTCTTTGGTGTGTTCCATTATTCAAAATAGTACAGGTTGCCAGTATATGCTGATATAATTTTTTAAGGCAATTAAATATTCTTTACAATGCAAAGAAGGAGACAGCTTCTAAAAAATCTTTTTTACCTTCAGTTTTTTCCCCCTTAAAAGACAAGAAATGTGCCATGCCAAGGACTATGCTAATTCCAGATTACAATTTAGCCCTGAGATTTATATGCCCCACTGAAACTATCAACCTGAAAAGCTGGCAACCTTGGACAAACTCTGCAGGTTTACAATAAATGCTCTAAAGGGACATGTTAAGAGGAAGGAACCACTTTTTAAAATGAATGTTAAATCCTACCAAATAAAAGGTAACAGACTGTATCTAGAGACGGAGAGCGGTGGAGTCTCCTTCTTTGGAGGTCTTTAAACAGAGGCTGGATGGCCATCTGTTGGGATGCTTTGATTGTGTGTTCCTGCATGGCAGAATGGGGTTGGACTGGATGGCCCTTGTGGTCTCTTCCAACTCTAACATTCTATGATTCTTTATTCCAACAATTCTTTTATTTGTCACAGTTCACTTTAAACCCAGAGCATTCAACCAACACCTTAAGATTTTCCAACAATGCCTTCATTGAATCTAATGGATCTTGTTCCATTATGGTATTGTTGAATTGTCACCATAATAGGTATAAAAACCAGGAACTTCTAGATCTGTTATTCTGTAAGCATTATATTAAGCCTGGGACTGTACAAAGGCCACAGGACAAAGCATTGCAAGTGTCAATGAAATAATGAAAGAGATTTTCATAGACATTAATTGAAATCAAACTCCAAGACTTTGTTGTTGTTGTAGTTGTTGTGTGCCTTCAAGTCACTTCTGATTTATGGCGAACTTATCATGGTTTTTCTTGGCAAGATTTGTTTAGAGGAGGTATGCCATGGCCTTCTCCTGAGGCTGAGAGCATGTGACTTGCCCGAGGTCACCCAGTAGGTTTCATGGCCAAGTTGGGAATCGAACCCTGGTCTCCAGAGTCTCAATCCAACACGCAAACCACCATGCCACATTCCCATCAGATAAATTCATGAACCTCAAGTGTTCTTTTCAAAATTTCAAAATGAGACAAAATTACTTATTTCAGCAAGGCAAGACTTAGAATGAGAATAAAGGATCTACATTTTTGCAGGATTAAATTCTAAGAGCTTCACTGGCGGTCTCCTACCTGTGCAGTGGAAATTAATACAAATCAGAAAAGGCAAAGAAAGGGTGTGTGTGTGTGTGAGAGAGAAATGGTTGCCTTTTGCTTAGTAGTTCTATAGGTCAGCTTTTATTTATAATCTTCTTTCATGGGTAGCAGACTACTTGACAGTGTGACATTTCCAAGACTAAGAAGGCACAGAGACTTAGCCCTTGGCTTCACCCTCTCTGCTATGTTATATGTTCAAGACATAAGGAGGGAAGGGTTGTCTCACAGGAGTTGCATTCCCTGCCATATGTTGTCTCTTATCTTAGCAAAGGGGAAATCTGTGGGTTATCAAGCAACAGTCTGAACACAAAGAAAGCAAGATCAGACAGAGAAGCATGTCCAGCTGTGAGCAACAACTGTAGACACAGCTGCAATGTATAGGCAAGCTGGCTTTCAGGAGTGATTCACTGGCTGCTGTTGACTCTATCTCTGTCATGATGACCCCTGGCCAGAGATTAAGGGCAAACCTAATTCTTTAAAACGTTGTACGGTAAATAGTAATAGTAGAGAACAGGTTCTAAGGACGTGTCTTTTAAAAAGCCTTGCATCTTCATGCCAGCACATTAGATACTAGTACTATGTCATTTATTACAGTTCTAACATGTTTTCTGGCATAAATTTATCTTAGCGCAACAAAGCATGGTGTTAGCCTTCCATGACCTGGCAGCTGTGCTGGTCTTACCTGTCTCTGCATTTTTAAATCAGAATTATTCCTCATTAATCAGTACACACCTGTCCTTTTGCCCATTCTGAGCTTGAACAAAGTCAATAAACTTACAAATGTAGTAATATTTAAGGCACTTAATAACCAGTACATTAACATTATATAGCTGGGTTATTGTACATGTCTAAAATAAATGAATATATACCAAGCCCCCGAGCTGTTTTAAATTTACACTTGGCTAATATTTATTTTTTGTTGTTGTTGTTGTTGTGTGTCTTCAAGCTGTCTCCAACTTATGGCAACCCTAAGGCAAACCTATCAGGGGTTGTCTTGGCAAGTTTGTAGGACAAAACAATAAGCCAAAAGAGTGATCTGCACACTTTTGGGTTCTCCAGAACTCATCACCAGGCTATATCATGCAAAAGGAAGATGGAGAGAATGAAACAGAAAAGTCCAAAGGAAGACCAGATGTTAGGAACACAGAAGAGTAATGCAACTGAATTGGATAGCTTCCCTGATGATGCAGTATTGCAATTAAGAATAAGAAAAACGAAAATGAAATATTTTTGCATTTGGGTCTTTGTTATCCACTGGGGTTTGGTTCCAGGATTCCCCCCCCATGGATACCAAAATCTGTAGATGTACAAGTCCATTATGTAATGTATGTAATTTACTATGCATAGTAAATAGTATAAAACAGCCAAAAAAGTTTGCTTTTGGGAATGTGTGTGTGTGTGTTTGTGTGAATATTTTCAAACCACCATTGGTTGAATCTGTGGAGTCAAAGGGTTGACTATATTTTAAAACACTTTTAGAGACATGTTTTTATTTAGAAATTCTCACATGTAAAGTTCTAGCCTTCTTCAGCATCTCAGAACTTCTCCAGGAAGTTCACTTTCAGAATCACATTTCTGTTTTAATACAATTGTTTGTATTTTTATAGAAACTTTTGTACTATATTGTATATTCTTTTATACTGTAAGTTGTTCTGAGTCCCATACTAGGAGAAAGGCAGGAGCTAGCTTAGGTCCAGACTATCTGAAAACCCGTATCTCCTTAAATGAGCCTACCCAACTCTTACAATCTTAAGAGGAAGGCTTTCTCTCCATCCCACTACACTCCCAGGCTTGGCTGGTAAAGACATGAGAGATAATCTTCTTGGTGGTTGCTCTTAGGTCTTTTGAATTCACTCCTGAAGGAGATCAGATCTGCACCCTCTTCGTTGTATTTTCTCCAGCAGTAAAGACCTTATTGTTTAAACCAGCCTCCAGCCTTGGCTGACCAAGGTGAAGTGATGTGCAAGTGGGTGTAATGCTTTTTAGTATGTAATGTATATTTTAAAGTGTTTTGTTTTCATTTTTAATATTTTAAAAATACAGTGGGCCTCTTGGTATCTGCTGGGGTTTGGTTCCAGGACCCTCCCATGGACACCAAAATCCATGAATACTCAAGTCCTATTACATAGAATGGAATAGCAAAATGGTGCCACTTATATAAAATGGCCAAATCAAAGTTTGCCTTTTGGAATTCATTTTTTAAATATTTTTAAGCAGTGGATTCATGAATCCATGATTAAAGAATCCATGGATATGGAGGACCGACTGTAGTGTTTCAAATGAATGTATTATTTAATGCTTTTTAAAAAAAAAAAAACATTTGGCACTCCAGCTTGTTTTAGTTGTCCTGTTTTAATTTATATTGCAAACCATTTTGAGTCCCATTTGAGAGAAAAGTAGGATATAAATAAAAAAAAAAAAATTCAACATTTTTTTTCAAGACAGCAAAATAAAATGAAATTATGAATGGAAAACAGACAACTAATCAAACTTTTCTCCTGTTTGGTTTGTAACATCTTGCCCGATGAAGAAGCCCATGGAGCTTCAAAGCTTGCAACAAGTATATTGTGCATTTTGGTTGACCAATACATGTTACCACTGATGGATATATGTTTGAATTTGCTGGCCATTGTGTGGAACTGGAAAAAATAACGAATTTAGCACAGCAGGCTTTCTGGACTGATTCTAAATTGTTAAGAAGTTAAATGTACTGTTAATTATTTAGAATAATTTAGCAAATTAGAAGAATTCATTAGATGTCAGCAGTTATCTTCTGCCAACATATCCTGCTGATTAAATATGGAGTTTAACTGAGACATTTTAGACTTCTCTTGCAAAGGAAGAACCAGTTCTGCTAAAATAACACCCTATTTTTAGAGTAAGCCACATGCAGCTGTTTTTCTGAAAAGCATACAATAATTCTTTAGTCCAACACCTAGGGAGAAAAATATGCCTTGAATGACTATAAACCAGGGGTAGGCAACCTAAGGCCAGGGGGCCGGATGCGGCCCCAAGAGGCCTTTGGACCGGCCCGAGGCCGGTCTTGCCACTGCCACTGCCTCCACCCCCCCACCCACCATGATGATATTGATTATTGTTGTTATTACTTGTTCTTGGGGTTTTCTTGGCAAAATCTCCACATGGGTTTTGCCATGGCTTTTCATGGGCTGAGAGAGTGTGCATGCATATTTTTTTTATTTTTTTAAAAAAAATTAAATTTTATTTATTTATTTATGGTGCTTCGGCCCCCCAATTGTCTGAGGGACAGCAACCCGGCCCCCGGCTCAAAAAGGTTGCCTATCCCTGCTATAAACAGTTAAGAGAGAGAGAGATATGTAACAGTGCAATCCTAAATGAAGATGTCCTGGCAATGCAGGGTTAAGACTAGGTATAAATGATTTCCACTGGCAGAAATGTTCTTCTGCCAGCTGATCTTGAAGAACTGCTGATAGGGTGATCTGCTGGTAGAAATGGTCTGTTGGCTAAGGCTACACATCTGCACTGCAGAAACAATCCAATCTGACATCACTTTAACTGTCATGGCTCAATGCTATGAATTTCTGCTAACTGTAGTTTTGTGAGAGATTCAGCCTTCTTTGTCAGAGAACTCTGATGCCACAACAAATTACAATTCCCAGGATTTCACAGCACTGACCCATGGCAGATAAAATGGTGTCAAATTGGATTATTTCTGCAATGTGGATGCATCCTAAGATTGCCCATCAAAAGAGAAGCACTCTGTTATGCCAGATCAAAAACTTCTCTAGCCCAGGGACACAACTACAATCCCAGGCCATAGCGAGGATAGTACTAAATAATTTCCAAATCCACTAGGCTAGTGGGGTGAGATTAGGCACAGCTTCAGCTAGCCTACTGTTGGCTTAGGAGGGTAGTAGATTGCCAGAAATAGTGCAAATTGAGTCCAATTTTAGGGTTAGGGTTAGGGAATCATGGAACCTAACGTGGCACCAGAGCTCTCTGACAGAGAAGGCTCAATGTCTCAGAAAAAAAACAACAACAATTCCCATGACTCCCTAGTACTAACCCTAACCCTAAAAGTGGACTCAATTTGCACTATTTCTGGCAGTCTGCAACCCCCCTTAGTTGGCCTCTGAACATCCTGGAACACTTAGAGTTATGATCTTTAAATCCTATTATTCAGGGCAGGTGCCCCCAAAGACCACAGAAAGAATGGAGCTCCGGATAATAAATGAGGCCCCTGACAATGGTTGATGATATTCTAATTCAGAGTGGTAGATCCACTATCTTGGCCCCTCCTGAACACAACAGAGGTTTCTCTAGTAGCTCTTCACTGTCAGAGTGGAACTACTGAAATAGGTGTTGTTTTTCCCCCCTCTTACATTTTGAGGGACTGATGGTTCTCTGATAATTTGTCAACTAGTCTGCTGTTACCCCAAATGCCTAGATCCCGAGAGAGCACCCACAATCAATAATTAATAGGGGAATTTTATTAGCTCAATTACAGCAGTTAAGAGGGCTTGGACAACTTAAAGCAGGGATCAAGCCTGGGTATACCAGTTCTGAGAAACAGAACGTAAGGTCCAAATGTAGTTTTAATTGTAAAAGGGAATTGTCACTCACACAAAAACTTGCTCACACACACACTCACAAGAACTATTGATATAAAAGGTGGTAGCATACAATGACTTTAAGGATTGCAGAAGGTAATACTGTACCATTTCCATAAGAACAGGTTCCAATCAGGGGATTCTGTGAAGGGAACTGGCTCAGCAGCTGCACGCAATGCTGAGGAGTCAAGCGAGATACTGATAGTGTCTATCTGAATCTCAGGCAAGACCAAATT